CATATTCCTAGTGCACCTACACCAAGCCTGATAAGTAGTAGAAAGAAAGACAGGAATTGGGGTCCATCTCTCCTCTGGAGAGCCAGTTAGAATATAACATCAGCCTATAAATCAAGACTTTAAGAGTAAGGCAGCATCATAGTCTAAGAGGAGTAAAAGTAATCAAGACAAATATGTTCCTTTACTAAAAGACAAATTACAAATGAAAAATCTACTGCAAGGAAGCAGGTTGAGAAAACTACGCAGCTGCACATTCATGGAAAAGGAAGGACGGCTCAGAGGGCAAAACCAGGAGCCATGGAGAATTATTTCAAGGCAGGAGTAAAACTGTGTCCTAATCAAATTGTGACATTTTCCTGGTTGGATTTCAGAATTTGTACAGGAATGTATATAGTGGTTATCTTGCTGTCCCACAACTGTGTGTTAAGTATGAGCAGATAACTTGTCTTTTTAGTTCATAGGACTGTATGGAAACTTTTTAGTTCATAGGGCTATATGGAGAAAACTGTATTTGAGGAGCTGTACTGTACTTACAACACAAAAGGAGCATCATGCACACCTGGACTTGACTTAGATGATGAGATTCTTGTCTTTGAATTGATGCTATAATTGGATGAGCCTTTGGAGGCAGGCTTGGGAGTGAATGTATTTTGCATGTGAGAGGATGAGGATGTGGGGATAGAGGGCTGATCATGTAGCCAGCCTCTAGTATGGCTCCTAAAGAGCCTCACCTCCTGGTATTCACAGCCATGTATAGTTCCCTTCCTTCCCTCTTCCCTTTACACCAGGGTTGGTCTCTGTGACCAATAGAATTTGGCAGCAGTGAAGACATGTCACTTCCAAGATTAAGTTATAAAAGATATTGCCACTTCTGTTTTGGTTGTTTTACCTTTTAGACCACTTGCTCTGGGGGAAGCCAGTTGCCATGTCATGAGGACACTCAAGCAGCTCTGTGGAGAAATCCAAGTGATAAGGAACAGAGGAGGGCTCTTGCCAACAGCAAAAGAGGAACTAGGGACTTTGATCAATAGCCAAGTGGGTAAACCTTCTTTAAAGAAGATCCTCTAGGCATGGCAAGTCTTTAGATGACTGTAGCCCAAGCTACAGTCTCATGAGAGACTCTAAGCCAGAACCATCCAGCTAAGCTGTTTATGAGTTCCTGATCATAAGAAGCTGCTAAATTTTGTTATGTAGCAACTGATAACTAACACAATGACTAAATATAATCTTTTGCTCATTTGGATGCTTGTAAACCTGGGCCTATGGGAAAATATTTATTTAGCTCCTCTAAACTAATTTTGCTATGAGTCGGAAACGATTCAACAGCACCTAACGACAACAACAAACTAATTTTGAAGGACACAGAGAGTTAACTTCGTAATAGGCATATACATTCTTCATTGAATTGGAGGATCTGCTTTTGAGAAGACAAAGTGTGAGATTTTCCCAGAGTGAAGACTTTTTTTGCAGAATGATGAGCAGACTGCTACCTCTCAGGCTGAAATTTAAAGTTTTGCTTATTATTATTATTTTTTCCCAACATGACTAGTTTAAAGAACATAAAGTATGATTTGATTTCCTTCTTAGTTTTTGTTATAGAAAGATTTGAAAACAAGAGAAATAAGAATATATTTCTTCTAGCTTCTCTTTATTTCTCTTTCTGTCTCATAATCAATTTCAGTAACTTTAACAATAAACAGTAAAAATGATAGAGTATACAAAGCATTGCCCAAGTGAATCCATCATGAACCTGTGTCTGAGAATGGCTTCCTAAGTAAGGGAAATGTGTTTCATACAAAAAGTCCATTTTCTGTTATTGCCTTTTTTATTTGGACTACTAGATGCTATAAATTTCAAGTCAATCTTAATAGTTTCCTGTCTCTTACTAACAAGAATGACTTGTCATAATGAGCAGTGTAGACACTGTCCATTTGATCCACTCCAGAAAGCTGTCTATTTGATACAAGAGTAAATCACTTCAATACCTTTGTGGAATGAGTGGAGTATAAATAAATAAATGAGACACAAATATATATATATATATATATCTGGTCAGTTGTATCAGAAGGAAACAAAAGATAGGAACACTTAGAGGCTGTTTTAATATAAAACATGACAAGAGAAAGAATTATATGTGGTAATTGTAAAGAAGAACTCTCACTAATATAAAATGTCCATGAAATAATTTCTTTCTTCTTTAGAAAGGAAGGTAATTCTGAAGTTTACGAATAATAATTGTCAATTTTTTGATGTTTGAGGAGCTGTATTATAAAATGAGTATTCACTTTTGCCTCAACTAAAAATAATTCTAATTTTCAGGACTCTATAATTCATCACATTTCTAAATCTGGGTAGGAATTTCAGAGTCCAATTTGGGGAATGGGCTTGTTTTGGGGGTGTATTTTTGTAATTGTTATTTTGCATGTTTTACATAAGTTGTAAAGTTTTTGTTTTGTTTTTAGAAGCAGTAAGTGGACTCCAAAATATGCAAATTTTTCAGTTTACAATCAGTGCTTAGTTTTTCTCTTAAACTACTACACAAAAAATGTCATATTGCATTTGAAATAGGCAATGATAATTCTTAAATTTTTTTTTTTTTTGCTAATATTGTCCAAAATTTTTTTATGAACTATTGGTAGAGCTATGTATTATTCTCTATCAAGTATAGGGTTCCACTGGGGATGATAAAGATAAGTTATAACTTATTTTTGAAAGATAAGTTATAAAAAAATCTATGCCCCATAGGAGCTCAGAAGGAGCTCTGGTGGTATAGTGACTTTTGACTGCTAACCAGAAGGCTGGTAGGTCAAACCCACCAACTGTTCCTTGGAAGGAAGATGGGGAAATCTACTGTAAAGATTTACTGCCTTGGAAACCAAATAGGGGTTGCTATGAGTTGGAATCAACTTGATGGCAGTGGTTTGGTTTTGGGTTTTTGTTTGTTTGTTTTTTAGATAGGAACTCAGAGGTAGTAAAGTGATTCTCAAAAATGAAATCTCAGGATGACGTGTGTTAGAACCCTCTAACAGGGCTTTTTAAATAAGCAGATTCTCAGTCCCCACAGTAATTGTACTAAATCAGTATCTCTGGTTGTGAGACTTGAGAAACTGCAGTGTAATTGGTTCTCTTGATGCTTCTAATGCAAATTAAAGTTTTCCTGTGACACATAAGGTTTTCATTGGCTGATTTTCAGAAATACATCATCAGGCCTTTCTTCCTAGGCCATCTTAGTTTGGAAGCTCTATTGAAACCTATTTAGCATCACAGCAAAATGAAAGCCTCCACTGACAGATGGCGTTGGCTGCACATGAGGTGTGTTGTCCAGGAATAAAAGTGGGTCTCCTGCATAAACAAACAAACAACTCACTGCCATCCAGTCAGTCTTGACTCATAGCAACCCCTCCTTGGGTTTCCCAGGCGGTATCTCTCCTGGTTGGAGGGTGAGAATTCCACCACTGAGCCACCACTATCCCAAACTAATGTTTGTTACTGTTGTGTGCCAAGTGGAATGCAACCCATAGCAACTCTATAGGACAAAGTAGAACTGCCCCATAGGGCTCCTAGGCCGTAATCTTTGCCTAAGCAGATTGCCAGGTCTTTTCTACCTGGGAGGCACTGGTGGGTTTAGACCATGGAGATTTTGGTTAGTTAGCAGCGGAGCCCTTAACCATTGTGTCACCAGAGGTCCTTCAACTAAAATTTAAGGACCTTAATCTAGTGAGGGTTGTAGGGTAGAGGAATAAACAATTTGCATCGAAACAGGAGTCACAATACAAATGTTCAAGATACAATACTAGCATCTAGGAAAGAGCTGTACCTAGGGAAGTGTAAGTAAAGATTTAACTGGGAAGCTGAGTTTTGTGTGGGATTTTGAAGAATGGTATGTCTTTGCCAAGCAGAGATGGGGGTAGGAGATGCAATCCCAGTGACTACTGTTTCCAAGCATACTTTGATCAAGACAGATACACAGTAGCTACTCACTGCCATGCAGCTCCTATCTTAAGATTCCTTCCATCAGCCTTTATTCGGCTTTCTTCAGTAGCTCTGTTGTCTCCATTTTCCTTGATGACAAATATGCTTACATCCTAAGTTTTGAGCGATTTTAACTGAGACGAAGCGTGTGAACACACACACACACACACACACTACATAGGTTTATGTGTGCTTTAAAGGCTGCAGAAAATATCTTTCTGAATTTTAGAGAAAACTTGAAAGCAGCTTTACATATAGAAGACATTTTTTGACTAAACGGTCAGGATGGAGTGAACAGACTTTATAATTAATTCCACCAATCACTACCTGCAATTTTCTTTTTAATGCATATAGATGGGCGTGGTGTCACGGTCTATATAGCTTTCTGGGTATTTTTGGCGAAAGGATGGTATCTGTAACTCCTCACTCTTCCGTTCAGTCACCTCAAGGACCTCAACTGGGTAGAAATGTAAGAGCCAATCAGAGTGCTTGCCTGAGCAACTCCAGACTGGCTTCTCAGAGAGGATTGGCGGAAGATGGGGCTTTGTTGTTTTCATTAGAACGGACAAAGGAGGCCATAATTGTTTAGGGCGCTAGAAAATTCATTATAGGTTACCCGGCGAGGGGGTTAAACCTCAGTAGGACTGACCGTTAGCCAGAAGATCTCTTAATCAGAAGACTACTTTGCATTTCAGATGCTCTGTTTTCTGGGATCCTGGAGTTTAGGTGGTACCAGTACCCAAAATGGCGGCAAGGGGCTTCACAGCGCCGGATCAGGTGACACAGCCCCAGTCGGCTCCTTCCTCCCCTACCAAGAATCTCTTCTCCACCCTCTCCCCTACGTTGTGGTGGGCGTGGCCTGTCCAGAGGCTCTTTTCTTCAATTCAAGTACCTGGAAAACTGAGGGATACACATGCGCAGTTATGTCCCTAAGGCCCTTCCAGCGGTCTCCGGCCCATCGCTCCGCCCCGATCTTCCGGGCGGGGCTGGGCCGAGAGTCCAGCTGCTGCTGGGCTTCAGTGACTTCCTTGTTGTGAGCCCCGGCCCGGCAGTCTCCGGACTCGTAGCCCCTCTGTCCTTACCGGGACCGCTAGCCCGAGTCTAGGTCGCAGCCGCAGTCTCATTCTGTCGATTCCCCTTTCAGCACAGGTCCTTTCCGCACCCCCTGCGCTCTCTAATATGCCCAACCCTAACAGCACCTCCTCTCCCTACCCCCTCCCTGAGGAAATTAGGAACCTGTTGGCAGGTAATGAGCGGGAAAGGGGCGGGTATCGCTGCCGGGGCCGGGGCGACGGCTTGGAGACGGCGAGTCGGTGGGGACAGAAGCTTTCAGAGTCCCTAGCTTTCTTCTCCGCACCCCCACATCCCCACGCTCCCCAGGTCTCCTGGCCAGTGGGGGCGGGCCTGGGAAGAGGGGTGTTTGATCTGAGGAAGGGAGTGGGTATGTGTGAAATTTGGTGCGGGGGAGAAGCCCTTGTTGAAGACGCTGTGTGTGTGTGTGTGTGAGAGAGAGAGAGACAGCGAGAGAGGGAGGGAGAGATAGTATTTGTGTATGTGAAAGAGCAGAATGAATGGGAATGAATGCCTATATGAGATGTGAGAAGGGAGATGCAGCCAAAGTAGTTGTTCTTGGGTGGCGGCGTGGAGGAGGAGAGTATAGAGATGCAAGGAGATATCAGAGCCACAGGTGTTAAGGATTACTAAACAGACGGTTTGCCTTTTCTGAAACTCCTCTTTTTCTTGAACGTTCAGTCCACTCGTATTTAGGCTTTTCGAAAAGGGCCACTTGTCTTCGGTCCCAGTAACATTAAAATAGAAAAAAAAAAAAAGGAAGTGTTAAAGTCCTACTTCCTGTGTTACACTGATGAAAGTACTTCATTTTTGCATCTTCATCTTCCCCTTTTCAATTTTAAATTGCTGTTTACAGGAATTTACTTTAGGAATTAAAGGTATAGTTCTTTCATGTCATTAATGGTCCACTACTTCTTAATTAGGAGCTCTGGTAGCATAGTGGCTAAAGCACTTGATTGCTAACCAGAAGGCTGGCGGTTCAAACCCACCAGCCACTCCTCGGAAGGAAGGTTGGGCAATCCTACTTCCGTAGTGATACTGCCTCGGAAACCCAAGGAGGGGTCGCTATGAGTCGGGGCCGACTCGATGGCACATAACAACAACAACAACAACTTAATTACTGGCTATGCAGATGGTATTTTCACTAGGGACAATGAAAAACTTAACAGTTCAACACATGGTAGAAAATACTTCTTTTTAGGGTAGCACAAATTTTATCTATTCTGATGGTCTGGAATTATTAATACTGTACATCACAGTGCTGGAAATGGAATTTTATTTACTTTAGTTTGGTTGTGTCTAAAATTTACCTTTCAATATTATGAATAACTGGATTAAGAGTTTCTCCTAGATGCCCTGTGTTAAAATTTGCTTATTTTAACTCTTAAAAAGCATTTAATCTAAAATGTGACATTTAAAATAGTAAGTTACTGCTACAGAAGTATGAGACCAAATCTTCTAATGTGATGCTGGACTGTTTCGGTTGTTGGCATTGTAAATATGATAGAGGAAGTAAAACCAATAGTATATAAATGCATACTTAATGTTCATATGAACATGATAGAATATGATGAATACATTTGTAATAGGATAATGTTTCAGAGATGTTGGTTGTCATTAATGGTTGCCACTAAGGGAAATACTAAAAGAAGTGTGAAAGCTGATTTAAGGCTGCTTTTATTCCATTATATGAATTTGATGTGAGCACTGATTTTGTTTTGCTGCAATTGATCTTCTTGTGGTTAAAATACTGGAATTGCTTGTTTATAATATCATTCTAATAACCAGAACAGAGAAGTTTTATCTATCTTTACCGCAAAAATAGATCTCACTATTTTCAAGATATTCTAGGTCTGAATTTTTGAATTTAAGAAATAAAGTGCAGATTTCTAGATGTATGTTAGTAAAGCTTGGTAGTTCCCACAATATCAGTTTGCTATTTGGATCCATAATCACAGATAATAATGATATATAGATATTGTGAGACTCTATCTAATCCCCATTGGTCATAAGTATTTCTTGTGGCTCTTAGTTGGTAATTTAACTGAAAGCTCAGACTTACATAATGTTTAAATTTTCTGCCACTGTTAACTTCCTATATACTTCAGCCATGTTTCTCTTTCATTAAGATAATATACTAACAATGTCTGAAATCAGCCTTTTGTTTTTTAATAACTTTATTGGCATTTTCCATATTACATATTATTAAAGCAAATCACTTGTTAATACAAGTATAAAGTAGTGAAAACAAATATGAAAACAAAACTTTAGGTATTATAAATTTGGATTACACTTTATTTTCTGAGAATATTTTAAAGAGGTACAGGTGTGTTGAGGAGTCTTTTTTTAAATAAATAAATGAAACAAGTGAATCAGTGTTTTTCAATAACTTATCATCCAAGAAATGTTAAGGTTTTATGCTTGACAGTAATGAAAATGGTTTTTTTTTTTTTTTTTTTTTTATTAGGTTTTTTTTTTTAATTAAAAGATCTAATTCACTTTCCATATAGCAGTTCACATATACTTCTTTGTAATTTTAGGTTTTATGCTTACGTCTTTTATTTCAGACTTTTTTTTTTTTTTTTTTTTTTTAATTAGGGGAGGTTTAAGAATAGAGTACCTGCTTTCAGCAGTTATTCTCCATACTTCATGAAGAAAATACTGTTGAGATTGTATATGATGAGTTGCATAATTCAAGTATATTGGCTGCTGTGTTGGGTACATGGCTGGATTTAGAATTACTAGACTGTAAAGGAAAAGTTGATGATCAACATGAATTTTAGAAATGTTGCTTGTCTAGTGTATTTTCTTTGAAACTAAGAGGAGGTATTGGTAGGGGTAATTGTAGGTAACAGTTGAGTGCTCTTGGAATTCATGACACTGTACTATAATTCCAAGGGAGAAGAAGGTACAACGTTCAGGAGTTTAAAATCCATCCCTTATTTTCAGAGAAAAGAATATCCAAAGATAATGCCTATCAAAATAATGTTGCTTGGACATTTCTCTTTGTGTCCCTTGTGCCTATATTCCAAATCATTGTGTATCACATGGGTTATTAAAATTTGACATTTCAACTGCTTGATAGGACTTGATACTCCAATGTATTCTCCTCATCATAGTTATTACTTTTATTTTTTTTTTTCTGATGATAAGTTTTAGGTTATCTTTTCCAAATTTTCCCCTCCTCCCTCTTATTCCTTTCCTTTTTTAAAATATGTGATAGAATGAAAACAAAAACAACCAAACCATGTTAACTCATCTTTAATGATACCCTTGAAAAAATGTCTCAATAGTTTGGTATTTTTATTTTCTATGGAATCAGTATATTAAATCCTGAAGGTTTATGTATTTTATAAAAACTGTAGAATTATTATGATTACTTTTTTGATACATGAGTAGGAAAGGGTTACAGTTTTTGATTGCTGTTATTCTCAAAAGCAAATTTTGAATTGCCTTATGCACTACAGAGACCCTTTGATGTTTTATCCCCTCACAATAACGGATTCTGACTCACAGTGGCAGAGTAAACTGCCTACAGGGTTTCCTAGGCTGTGTTCTTTACCAGAGCATATCACCAGGTCTTTTCTCCCGTGGAGCCTCTGGCTGGTTAGAATCACAGACCTTTCGGTTCGCAGCTGAGCACTTAACCACTGTGCCACCAGGGCTCCTTACAATAGGTTTTGCTTGGATAAATAAAATCAAAGGATATCCCAAAGTTTGTCCATTTAATCCTCTCCCACATCCATCCGGATATTTTGACTAGGACTAACAACAAGAATAATCTTGTTTCATATGAGTTGTTCCTCTAGCAGGCAAGAAAATAGGAGGAACAAGGTGTCTCCCTCAATTCATTTAGATTATCCTTTAAATCCTGGGGTGTTAGTGGTTTGCAGTCAGATTTAATATCTTTTCAAATTTGAAAAGGAAAGTTATCAGAGTTTTTTTTTTTTAACATTAAAATAGAAAATGATACCAATGTTAAAACAAGAAAATAGGTGGTTATCAGCACTCTGAAAAATCAAAACCAAAGCTTAAGCAAGCCAACAAATAATAAACAAATTGGATACATGGTTTCTGCAAACTGACCTTGAGATTTTGTTCACATGGTGGTCTTAATTACAAATACTGCATTTTCCCCTGTTGGAATGTTCACAACACTTATTTTTTTCAAACTTCACACATTATAATCGACCATCCCTTTCAGATTACTTTTAAAAGGAAAGTTGTAAGAGTGTTATCCCTTTAGGATAATCCCTTTAGGGATATTTTGTAAAGAATGCAATTGAATTGAAATAGAGGCAAGATTTCTTCAATGCTGAGTAGGGGATGTTTGGGTTCACCTTTCCAAAGTTCCACTTATAATTTGGTCAACATTTTGGTTTTATTTTCTTCTGGAAATTATTCATGGTGTATCTGCTGCCCCTCAGCTTCCTTTGGGGCATTGGCTGAGTATGTAAAGGGAAGAGTGCCACCTACTGAGTCACCAACACTCACCTACTTCTTTAGCACCTGGATTTCCTATGGAGCAAGACCAAGCCTGTCCTATTTTGACATCAGTAACTAATGAGCATGAGCTTGATAAGAGGACATGTGATCTCAAAATGAAATCAGCCTCTGACACCTTCAGGATTTTCTCTTCTAGACATAGAAATATGTGTTTATAAATCAAGGGACCAGAACTTTATAGAGTTACTTGTATAGATGACACAATACAGATAAAATATGATATTAGGAAGATTATCTGCCTGTTTATTATAAACATATAATTTCCTACTTTTTCTTGGGAGAAGATCTTTCGGCTGGCCTTTCTTCCCCGTGGCTTTTTATTGAAAGTGCTTTCATCTCAGGTTACTAAATGAAGCTCTTGATGTTATGCAGAGTTTTAACAATCAATCCCAATTATCATTGGTTTTTCTTTTAAAAAAAGTGAATTTAAATTTGCTCAAAGATGAACAGTATATGAAAAATTTCCAAATGACTTTATCTCTACTGTTCTTGGCATTAAAGTACTGTTAGAAAGAGAGAAACAACAGGAATGGGAGAAGACTGGTGATTTGAAACACATTTCAGTTGTTGCTCATAAATTTAAAATGAAGTGTCATATATGGGTGATAAAAATGGCATTGGCTAGTTTTTATGTACTCATTATTCACTTAGTTTGTCTTTTTCAATTAAAGCCAAGTCTATCTTTTTCATTCCACTGAGTCTACATTTCTTTTTCAATCACATTCTGAACACATTACAATAGATACTTCCTCGGAAGGAAGATGGGGCAATCTACTTCCGTAGTGATACTGCCTCAGAAACCCAAGGAGGGGTCTCTATGAGTTGGGTCCGACTCGACGGCACATAACAACAACAACAACAACAACAAGAAGTGAGTCTAGTGTAGCTTCTTTGAAAATGCATGGTACAAAGATTCTGATTATTATAAGATGCGATTTATCAAAAGTCATCTTTTAGAGGTTGGAAGGTGCTCAGCCCTATCCTTCAGTAGCACAGCTTTCTATCAAAATAAGTCATTTAGCTTCCAAAGTAAATTCTGAAAATTTTCTCAGATCATTGGATTGTAAGACTCAAGATATGTTTTACCCATTGTACTTTGAACACACCTTGTGTCTGTTCATGTCTCTTCTTCCTTGTTCAGAAACTCCACAGTTAAGCTATAACCTAAAATGTTAGATAATCAAGAGAAATACATTTATTAGAACAATCAATAACTTTTCAATTAGCCGTTTTCTAACTCTGGGCATCAGGCTCCATTGATCTGCATGTGCTCAGTTTAATTGATTTTTATGTTTTCACACCAGTAGATATTTGGACAGAAAATTGCCCTCCCCTGGACAGAGAACAAAAATGTGTTTTTGTTCTGAAGCCAGTTTAAGTTCTAAGCTGAGAATCCTTCCCAAATTAAGTTTGGTGACAGTCTTAGTGAATGCAAAGTGAAATGTGACCCAGTTCATGAAGTAGAGATGTGGAATTAAGTACTAGAACCATTTGGGGTGCTCTGTGATTGGCTTTACAGTTATTTTACTGATCTAGTTCAGAGCAAATGGTGGTGGATTCAGTCCAATTCTTGTCCCCTTACCATATGCAACTGAAGCAATCACAGAGGCTTAGTATGTGTGTGTTTCTGTGGTGTATTGGGGAGGTTGGGGGACTAGGCAGAAGACACAGGGTGTTACCTTTGTGACTTGTTTACAACCTCCAGGCTGGAAGTTATATTCCAGGCTGTTTGGTGTTGGGGGATGGTGAGGGCAAGTGGTCAAACCACTTGTTTGCTATTTTCAAGAGTGAGAAACTGTGCTATGCATTCACCTTCAATAAATGGACAGTTTATCATTTGCAAGAATTTTAAGACTGTTCTGACCTTGTGTGGTTCTGCCTTTTCATTGTGGGATCCTTATGGAAGTTTGTAGATAGCAGTTAGCTTTCTTTTGTGTGTGTGTGTAAAATACCTGTCTGGACTGCTCAGGATTCTAGAAGATGGGTGGCAGCTTTTTCTAAGGGGTCTATATGCGCGCGCATACACACACACACACATACACACACACACAAATTGGAGTACATTCAATGTGTGTTAAATGTTTGCCTCTTAGGGATTATGATGGCTATTGAGAGGTTTCTAACAATCTGTTTGCTTAAGGATTGCTGAGTTATGACGCCATCTTTTAATTTTTTTTCAAACTCTTTTAATATTTACCTACAGAGCAAGCGTAAATCTTATCTTTTCAGCAGCTCTCTTTTGTACATTGATCAGATCAATTGTAAATTGACCATCTGATTAATTGTAAATCTGAACCCCAGGACTGGAAGGAAAGGTTTACTTTTGCGACAATGCTAAGGTGTACCAGGAGCAAAAAATCACTGCTACGTTTACATTCACTGGGGGAACTTTTTCCTCTTTGATAACTTTAGGGGCGGATGGAGATTCGCATAATTCTTGGGTTAAATGCACGCGACGCTGACCCGCTGTCTACTGGACTCCGGAGGCAGGGTTGGGGGGTTAGACCTGGTGCTTTAGGGCGCCCCCTTTCCCGCCGCCTCCTCTAGACTGGCCCAGCGGGGGCCCCCCACTTCCCGCGCGGCTGTGCGTGCGTGAGTCTGCAAGTACAACCCCTCCCTCTGAGGTAGGGATATTCTAACTCACAAGGCTAGGAGGGGAGCAAGAAAGGCTGACCTTTTCTTGTAATCAAATTATTAATGTTCACCAAATTACAGGCAGGCAGGAGTCAGTGAAATCTACCTCTTAACAGAGGGACTTGACCCCTAAAGAAGTTAGAAGAGGGCTGCCGCGCTTGCTAGTTTAGTCTTTGCAGGGCTACTCAGGGCTCAGTAAAAAGCTTCAAATCTCTTTTCCCAACCAGCCAGAGAGCGCTTGATTTGGCCCACAACTTGTATTGCTCACTTTTGAAATATTACCCTGCCTCTGAGCTACAAAGCCGCAGCCCCAGCCCCATTTGTCTGGCAAGAGCGCTGCCCCGCAGCCGGGCGCTGCCTGCTCCCAACTCAGTCGACTGGAACCCTGGGGTTCAACACTCCGAGTGTCTTAGAGGAAAGCCGCGAGTAACTCCTTCAGGCTTGCTCAGGCTGTCTGACTTTGCGCTGGAGGAGAGGGTCCTTGTGTTCCGTAGGCACCCAATGAAGGCCGCCCGGCACGCCCAGGGTTCTCCTGTGCCTGGGAAAGGCTGGTTCCAAATTAGAGGAGGAAGTGGGGGAGGAGGTGTTTAAGAAATAACCTAGATTTCAAAAGCATTGAAAAGGAAACGAACTCTGGACAATCAGCAAACTAAGATTATTTCAGGAACTGCTTCTAGTTTAAAATTTGTCCTTTTTTTTTTATTTTCGAAAGGAGAGCAGTCCCTATGCTTTTCATGCCTCCTTGAAGAAATAATCACAAAAGAAATTGGTGTTTATTAAATCATTTTATTGACTTTAAACCCTTTTTTGGGAAAAGTTTAGGAACATATACCTTTTAAAAATTAAATTCTCTAAAAGAAATAGATCGTTTCCTCTGTCACATCTTTGAATCTCCCCCCTCCTTAAAAAGGACCCATTCTTCCTTCAGTCCAATAAATATTTTCTTTCTTTCAACAAATATTTTGTCGCAAAATAGCATGGCTTACTATTTAAAAAAGAGTTTTTGGAGGAAGTTAGGAAACACTATATAGAGCTTGCAGCTTTTTATGTTTTCTGTTTTTATATAACAAACGACCTTTTAAAGAAATAACTCTTGGGCTGTAATTCGTTCTGTTATTGCTTCCGGAGATACAAAATAGACCCTGTTTGTTTAAACTCCGATTGTATAATGAAAATGTAAAATAGGCAATTAAATACTCGTGGAAGAGGGAATTAAAGACAAACATTGGCTGAAAATAACATTAAGCAGACTATCCACCAGTCATTGTCAGTGAGTGTTCCAAGTATTGAGTCCAGTCGGAAGAAAGAATTCAGCAGGGAAGCTACTCCTTCCCTTATTCCACTTTCTTTGTAGAGTTATTGCAGCGATTTCAGGGAAGCCAATGATCTTTTCCTTTCAGCTGAAATCTGACTGTCTGAAGGTTCTTGTTCCTCTGGGTGCAAAATTTAAAGAATTCCGAGAAGAGCGCTATTTCTGGTTATTTGGACTCTTTCGAAGTCTGGGTCTGTCTTACACTGACTGGGTTATGTCTCTATGTCCCCTCTTCAAATAATGCACAACTCAGGCAAAGAGAAGCAGTGACATTTTGCTTTCATTTCATTTTGATACTGACTTAAGTAAGTTAATGGAATTCAAACCAGAATGTTATTTTAAAAAAGAATTACAGAAATAAATTTTGATTCTTTCCTTGTCATATTGACTTAGGAAAAAATGACCATATTTACATGTTTATTGTGAATGTACAGTATAACAGTTTAATCAATTTATCCTTCATTGGATCAAGATACTTCTAATTGTAACAAAGAATTAGAATTGGTTACATTCTATCTAAAATATAGATTTTAGATTGTTATTAAGTCCAGTTGAGAGACTATTTATTGTTCTTTTTGAATTACTTACATTGTATGTTTTGATACATCTTTTTATCAGTGTAATTAGGAGACAACTTAGTTAAATAAAAAGAAAGAAAAACATATCTCTCTCCAATATAAAATATGGATGTTATTGCCATACTTACTTTATGGGTATATGATATCCTTTATATTAGCTATCTCAAAGTGAGTTTGAAATTCTGAAAACAAAATTAATATAAAGTTGTATTTTATGAACACTAAGAATAGGGCTGTTATAAAAAACCAAGCCAGTAAAGATTTTTTGGAATTTAACACTAGAGAAAACTAGACAGCATCATAATGTAGAAGTTTACTGATTTTTTTTTAAAGAGGCTATGTGGAAATGTTATATGTGGCCATAGAAATCTTATCTCTTGGCTACTATCTTTTTAAATAATGGAGGGATCTATTTTTACCACTTGTTTTATTCAATATTTGTAGGTGATAATACTTAGGCAGGAAACAAGAGCTCACAAAATCATGTATCTGGTTATCTTTTTTTTTTTTTTTTTTAATTTGAGGTTGGCTGGAGTGGGCGGGGCAGGTAGGGAGGAGGAGATTTGGGAATGTTGGCTAGAAAAAAGGGATTTATTTATTTTTTCTTTAAAGTGTTAAACATTGTATACACCTGAAATGGATTACACTGGGAAAAACAAGCCCTTGCCAGAGACATTAGCTGATATTGATATAATATTGTGACTGACCTGTTCACACAGGAACTTACAGAACACTATAAAATGTTACTAACACATGCATAAAAGCTCAGTGCTTGCTTTTATATGAGAAAATATGTTTTATGGGGCACCATAGTTTATTAAAACTTGTGTGCCTCTTCCTGGTTTAATGATGCCAAACATCCAAATGGCATTTGCTGTGCTAAGCATAAGTAGAGCATACAAATTTTATTAGCTAAGTGGTGAACAAATTTGTCCAATAGTATTTGAAACATACTTTAACTGTTATGCTTTGGACTGATAAATAACTATAACAAATTGTACAGATATTAACACTTATGGGTAGAAACAATCATTGCCCTATATGTCTTCACAAAAAATGATTCTTTCCTATAATTTGTATCCTATTTCTTATATTTCATGTTTAGATGTTGAAACATTTGTCTCAGACATACTGAGAGGGGAAAATTTATCCAAGAAAGCAAAGGAGAAGAGAGAATCCCTTATTAAGAAGATAAAAGATGTAAAGTCTGTGTAAGTCGCTTGGCTTTATTACTAATTTCTTACTTGGAAGTGACTTTGTAATTAACATTTTAATGAGGAATTGATTATCATGGAGTTAATTTTTTTATGTTCTAATATAATTTACCCTAAGTATTTTTAGAGAACAAAATTCCTACTGTAATAGTTTTTTTTAAATAGGCATGTTTATCACAAACATGTATTTTTTTTGTGTGTGTGAAGGTTCTTGTTTATATATTTCTGTAAACATTCTAGTAAAATCCAACTATTAGTTTTGATTAAATGAGGGAACGTTTTGTTTAAATTATATGTGGTAAGGCAGATTGAGGATATTAATATAAGTATGGAAAATACCTCAGACAATGGAAAATACATCCTTTTAATCATTAGTACTTTAAATGAATAACAGTAACACAAATTGTACGTAATAAGGATATTTCCTGATTTTATTATTATAAATTAGCTCTTTTAAAATACTTTTATTGTAAAATAATAAGCTTTTTGAAATTGTCATTTCAGGATAGGAACTATTTTTTTTTCTCTAGATGTATATTTAAAATACAGATTTAAAAATGGATTTGAATTTTTTCCACTGATTAGGCTTCATTTTGATTTGTCAACCTGCATTTTAAAATACAGTGTTCTTGCTTTATTTTGCAGCTATCTTCAGGAATTTCCAGACAAAGGTAAATTTTCAAGTTTAAAACCTTGAAATTTTTTATCCTCTGTGGCAATTTTTAGTAGGATAATCTAACACATTACTGAAATTTGATAATTGGGATTAAAATGTAAATTTCTGTTATTATATTCTTGGACCTTCAAGATGAGAGTGCTAGCTCCCCCTGCTGAGAGAAAAAAAAGGGTACCTAGAGTCTACTCTGCATAACCTTTTGATGCAGAACTCTTGCATATTTAGCATCCCTAGGTTTTTCGTTTCTTAGAGTATACATGGTGGCAGACATTTGATAAGAAAGGTGTATGCGGTTACCATGGAGTAATTTGGTGAGGCAGAGGAGCTACTAGCCAAGTAGCATTTGATACTGCAGAGATTACTTGTAGTAACGGTATGAGCAGGAGGGCCTGTGGCTGGGTGCTCATAGACTTCTGAAAGATAATTGCTTTAAAAACAATATAAATTTTTGTTTGAAAATGTGAATAAATTATTTCTCAAATGCTAGTGTTTATTTTCCATGTGGTACTTTTGATATGAATAAATGTGTGCTATGTATGTTTTCAGAGTATTCCAATTTCTTTTTCTTGAAATATGTGAAAATGCTGGTCATTTGATTGTCTTCTGTCAGATTTGAAAGACAGTTGCTTAGTGTACTGAAAACCAGATCAGGAAAGGGATAGGAAGTTCCTACTACTTAATGTCTTCAGTTCTATAAGGGAAACTGGGATGACCCTTACTTCCATAATGCTAATTCATGGGTCATGACCTGAAGCCTGTGGATGCTGGTAGGAGGGTCACAGCATGAGATCTGTTAAACTACAAGGGATTAGGTTCTGGGTTTAGGGGAAAAACATATAATGGCATCTTCTAACTGGAGTTAGCAGATAACTACAGAGTAAGTCATATCTGTGCCAACTGGTAAGTGGGAGGGTAATGACAGTTTCAACAAACCAAGCACTTAGCCCAACAAACCTCAAATCAAAAAGGTAAAAGCAAACCACAGTTTCTGTACTTCAAATCATCGAGATTGCTGGTTCAAGAGACAAGTTTGATGTAAGTGAAGGGAAAAGTGATACAACAAAAGCATGGACTAGCACAATATCACGCACACGCCCCAAAAGATCACTGTGTACTATATGTTTAGATTGGAGGATATGGGATAAGACTTTTTTTTTTCCCCCATTAAAAATTTTGATACAATTAAATAAAGAGAAGGGCAGGAAACTCCTTGTTCCTACAGGTATCCATTTCTTTGTATTCTGTCATGAATCCTAAACCATTGGTTTAATCATGTTGCATTTTGCTTAGTTGAATATAGAAATAATGAATTTATGCATCTTAATTGTAATAACTGTTACACAGTGCTTTATTTATAGGGGAACATTAGATATAGAATTCTGCCTCTCTTAAGAAGCATATTTTGTTCCAGTGATTATTTATTGAATTCTTGATATGACTTAATTATTTGTACATTTAAAAAAAAATTAAGCTAGGAAAGCATGGTAATATGAAGTCATCATCTAATTGCATGTGGTTTTAGTAATAGTGTAAGAACTTTCCCTTTGGTATTCTGTTTTAAAACTTGTTCAGGTGTGTGGCTATTAAAATTACATTACTAAGATATATTTCTTGTCTCCAAAGAGAATGGAAGTTTTTATATAGTGTGTGATAGAACTTGAAAAACTAGCCTAGAATAAAAATTCAAATAATGTGAAATTCAGTGATTCCCCATAATCATTTTCCTCTGAAAAAGTCATTTGTAGTTCGATATTAGTGCATTGAGTTAAGTAATCACCAAGAATGCCTGTTCCAATGTGAGCCTGTGGATAAATTAGATGTGCTCCGTGGAGAAATATGAGAGGCTGAGTAGTTCTGTACTATTGTATTCTCAGACTATAGCTTTGTTCCAAGAAGGCTGTTCCTATAGTTTGTTAGAAATAGTAAGGGAAAATGACATAGATTTGGTAGTTGCAGAGTAATTATTCAAGCTATTTTTTCTTTTTTAAAATAGGAATTTATTAGTTATCTGGTCTCTATATTAAGTAAGTTCACTTTTAAACATGTTTGGTAGTGCTGCTTTTTAAAAATTTTTTCCCTCACATTTTCCCCTGAGGGTTTTGGATCATCTTCATCCAAGATGATTGAGACAGGATTTCTTTCTTTCTCTCTTTTTTTCTCACTTCACTCAGGGCAATATGGGGTTACAATGAAGTGAGCAGAGGCTGTTTTCCACCTTCTTTGCCTTTATAGCCCTATTTGTTTCACATGGTTAATTTTTTTTTTTTTAGGTGGCAGCTAAGTATTATTTTAATATCATTGTTGGGAGGAAAAAGAACCAGGTAGAGCATTCTTAAAGAAAATGAAATAGCTCAGATTTATTCATTTAAATTAAGTCAGTTTTTAGTTTTTCTAAAGTACACAGATGTTTACTCTCCTTCCTAATTTCCCTCCCACTTTCTTCCCCTCTCTTACACTCTAGATACCTTCCCCTCTCCTTGCCTCATCTTGAGATTTAACAAAACAGAAGTTACAGTTTGAAGTATTTTAATTTTTAAAGTTAATTGAATGAACATAGTTGTTGAAACACTAAACTGCATGGGTCTTAGAAGGTGTTTTTTGTATGTTTCCATTTTTTTGGGTGAAAATAGTGTTGGTAGGTACTAATTTTATTATACTGATTCCTAGATATTGAGGTTTAACTATTAAGTTAATTTTCCATTTGCTATTCATATTCATAGAAAATTATTGATTTGAAACATCCCATTCTATTTCCTTAATTTATTAAGGTTCTCATTTTATCACTCATATATTCAAATCTAGTTCCCTATTGAAGAGATGTGACAAATTGGACCTTTTGAATAATTAATTATCAGTTGGTTTTCTAAATTTCTTAGGAAATGCTTGAATGTAAGCAACTAGAATCCATCTTGCTCATTCTAGACCCTGTTACTCATTTGAAAATTTCCTATATTATCTGAAACAGAGTTTCTTCTTTCTTATATCCTTCAAAAAGTCTTGTATATGGCAGAGTAACCAGGTAACCCTAGTTTCCTACTCTTTACAGCAGTATAGTCTAGGACTGTAAAATGCGCTCTAGAACATAGGTTTCATGCACAAATTAGACTGATTATTTTAGAATTTGTTCACTATCTCATGGCAAAATCATATCCCTTAAATGTGATTTAAAAATAATTACTTTTTTTGCAATAAAAATGTACTACCATTTGTGGTAAAGGCTGTCATGGACTGAATATAAACTAGAATTTTCTAATAAAAATGTTTTACGTATGGTTGTATCTTGACCCTATATTAGTCTCATTTTACTCTAGTGGTGATTAAAGTATGATTACTTTCTTTATAGAATGATTCATTTAAAAAGGATAATGTGCATGACACATAGTAGATGCTCAACAAATATTTTATTAATACATATTCTCAGATTCAACTTCATTTGTCAAGAGTATTTAAATACATTTTAATCCATAAATTCAATTTTTAAATAATTTTGAGGAAATAATACATTCTTAAAAGAAGAGCACACATACTAACATGAGGCAGATATTTTAAGAGAATATTTTTTCAAGTTTGTAAGTTATTAGTGTCTACAGCTTTAAAAAATGTGAATAAATGGCTTTTGATTCATTTAGATGCTATAGCTAAAAAATTCTCATTTTTTTCCCTTAAAAGCCTTTTGCCCCAATTACAAAAAAATGTCTGATAGATTTGTCTTAAAGATACCATCGATATTGTTCAATATGTATAGATTTACTTAGAAAGCAATTTTCTTTCACCTTTTTTTGTGTTATTTGTATTATTTCTTGTTTATTAATGGGCTAATTTTTTTAAAAAAGCAAAGTAATTAGGTAAGAAGGAGTCCATTTTAATGTTTGTTCTAGTAGAGTCCTTAAGAAAAGCAGAAGAGTCAGAAGGTTGCAAGTTGCATGATGTTTAATATCCTTTCCCCTTCCTAACATAGTGTGTTTTCTATTGAAAGTTAGCTCCACTATGAAGTCTGAGCAAATAACTTGCAGCTTCCCACACCACTAGGCCTTGCATAAATGTGATAATCATGTTTGACAGTATGGACCCTATACTAGTGGAATTAGTCCTTGAGAAGTAAGGATTTATTGTAAGCTGTGCCTCAGTTTGGTGTGAGAAGTTATCTTTACTATTTGCACACTAGCATTCCTATTTTAGAAGAGTTATAAGGAGAAGCTTCTTACTTGTAGTGGCCTAAACCCTTCAAAGTTTTAAGAATTAAATGATAGATTCTCTTAATAAATGACAAAGGAAATGCTTAATTCCATCCATTTAGCTGTTTTTTTTTATTATTATTTGAGAAATTAATTTGGCTAAGTGAACTGAGTAGAGAAGTAGAGATTAATTTGTTTTTACTCAGTAATTCCAACCTCCCCCCCCAAGTTTGTCTTTCATACTCTGTAAGATAGAATGATTATCAACTAAATTTTAGGCATATTATTTAGTTTATTTGATTGTATTCAAAGTAGAATTGTGTTGGACAAAACAAACCATAAATTGGTTAAATCCTCCTCAGTGGTGGTGGAGGGCATGTCTGTTCACTTTGGTGGGCTGCATATGTAGGCATTTAGTAAAATGTTTATTGATGATGAGCCATATAAAATAGAATGGCTAATAGTGATTTGAGCCCAACTATTATAAATTTTTAAATAGTTTTTATAGAAATATGCTGCAGTGGTACAATTAAACCTTGATTTTGCTGTGGTATTTAAGTTACCACTGAAATTATAGGAAGATCATTGTCATTTAAACTGCTAACTTTGTATCGTTAATTAAACTTTTGAAAGTTGTAGGATAAATCAAATGCTTTTCTAGGGAAACAAGAAGCAGTATTAACGAGCAACAACCCCATAATTATCCTTGTGAGTACATAACAGGGACACATTCGTGTCTTTTCTTTGCGCAATAACTTTTACAAAGAAGTATTTTTAAACTGATCATTAATTTTATGACCACAGAAATGAGATGCAAAATTTATGCTGTTGTCATTGGCACGGGCTCAAGGCACCACTGACATTATGTGTGATTGTAATAGAATGGCTGCCAACTAATGATTCTGTAGACATTTCATTTGAGCATGCTTTTCTCTTAGATGTCTGATTAGGCTGTAATGCTTTCAATTATGTCTGTAAATTGTATTGGATACGTTTACCTGATGCCCATTGTTGATTTGGAGTTCAGTTTTCTATTACATAAACACAAGTTAAACATTTTCCTTTTAATTTATAGAAGTCTTTGCAGGTATAGCTGCAAATACTCAGCCCCTGGGGAGAAGAAGTGCCTTGCACTACTCAACAGCGACCCCTGTATTCTATTAAAGCTCTTCATAAGGCAGCAGTTTTTACTCTTTATTGTGTTGGGGGGAAAAAAAAATGAGAGCAAAAGGGGATGGAAACCATCATTAGAACAACAGTAAGGTGAAGAAGATACTGAACAATGATGTGTCCTTTCAACTTATGCAGGTTAAAAAGCAAATAATCTGAACTGATATTACAGAGATTCTTTACCTTCTAAATTAATTCAAGGGAAGCTAAAAGCAGAAGGAAGAAATGAGGCCAGTAGCACTTTGTAATTTGGTCTTAGATAAATAGAAACACCACACTGATTTTTAAAATGGCACTTGTAATTAGCTACAGTTCTTAGAATGGGTAAGTTGAAGATAATTTCACTTATATATATAAACCAAAGAATGTTTTAGAAAAACTAAAACCATAGTGGTCTTTAACATGTAAATGACCAATTTGTGTAGAATAAATAATCTTAACTCATATTAAATATTATTGAATTTATACCTTTATGATATTTAAAAAGATATGTATCAAATATAGATTGGTGTGTACATATATATATGTATGTGTGTACACAAATATATACACATTACATATAGATTATGTATATATAAACACAATGTATACATATATATATATGGGATTTATATATAATATATATGTATATATACATATACATATAACTTTGCATATGTATGTATATATGATAAACCCAAAACCAAACCCATTGTCTTCAAGTCAATTCTGACTCACAGCAACCCTGTAAGACAGAGTGGGACTGTCCTATAGGGTTTCCAAAGCTGTAAATCTTTACAGAAGTAGACTGCCACATCTTTCCCCTGCAGAGCAATTGCTGGGTTTGAACTGCCAATCTTTTGGTTAGCAGAGTGCTTAATGAATGTGCCACCAAGGCTTCACACACACACACACACACACCACACACACACATATAAACCAAACCAAATTCACTGCCATTGAGATGATTCCAATTCATAGTGACTTTGAGTTTCTTTGGGTTTCCAAGGCAGTAAATCTTTATGAAAGTAGATTGCCCAGTCTTCCTTCGGCGGACTGGCTGGTGGGTTTGAACCACCAACCTTCTGGTTTGCAGTCAAATTACCTTAAGCATGACACCACCAGAGCTCCTTACACACACACACACACACACACATACACACACGTATAATGGATATTATGAAAGGATAATAAACGGCTTCTGATTCTCAAAACTTTTAAAGTGTAATATTTTTTTTCCTGTTTATCTCCACATAGAGCTTAATAAGTTTAAGCCTGAGCATATGATTTTTTTTTTCAATATCCTTTCCATATCGCCACTGGTTTTACCAATGTGTTTATATTCATAATAGTGTCATATGCTAAGTTTTGGTGGTATATTTGATGTTTTCTATTGCCTGTTTTTCACAGAAAGATTAATTTTATGGTATATAAAATGCCTTAGAATAGTCATGCTATAACATTTCTTGCTTTGTTAAGAATAAAAGGATACTCTAGCAACTCAGAGCAGTTGAGAATTTTATGACCTCTACTACTATACATCACATGAACTGTAAAATTATTTTTCCTACTGTGTTTTTTATTTTTATTTTTTAAAAAACTGATTATTTTCTTGTTTGTTTTGGATACATAGTTTTACCTTGCTTCTACTTTTTGTATTCTTCTTTATAGAGACTGTCATGATTTGGGGACTTTATCCTTTTGTATAAAAAATAAGCAGTCATATATTTACTTTAAAAACTTTCCCAATATCTAATTTACATTTGCTATAAATGAAAATAGGATCTCTTTGTACCTATTTTGAAATATTTTGTATTGTTTTCCTTGTTCTTCCATGTCAGTGATTGAATTGAGTAGTAAAATCTGCCTTTTCTGACGAGGTGACATTGTTTTAAAAAGCTTAAAAAAAAAAAAAAAACCATAAAAATTTAAAAAGGGAGTTCTGGTAGCGTAGTGCCTAAGGCACTTGACTGCTAACTGGAAGGCTGGTGGTTCAAACCCACCAGTCACTCCTCGGAAGGAAGGTTGGGCAATCTACTTCCGTAGTTACACTGCCTCGGAAACCCAAGGAGGCATCGCTGTGAGTCGGTCCGACTCGACAGCACCTAACAACAAGTTTAAAAAGGCATTTTTTTTTCTGATTCTTTTACAGGTGATGCAGAAGATGGGGAAGAATATGACGACCCTTTTGCTGGGCCTCCAGACACGATTTCAGTAGCCTCGGAACGATTTGATAAAGATGATGAAGGCCCCTCTGATGGTATGTGACATTATCCGATTAAGAATACACTTCTTGACATTTTCACAGCAAACAAGGCAATGCGTAGAGGTGGTGGTCTTGTCAGAAAGCACCTAACTGCAGAGATTTCGGTGAACTTATCTTTACCAGAACCTTTTAAGGAACAGAAGAGCTCTCTCTAGTGGTTCTCAAAATATACTGAGGTTTTCCTAAGTATGTAGTTGCTTTTTTATCTAGGAAATTTTCTTTACTAGAATTTTTAGGAGAGCTTGCATCATTGTATCATTATTAGTAGCAACAGTTTGTTGGTTAATTTAATATTATCAGATTCTTGCTTAATTTTATTATTCTGTTTAATGGCCTGTTGTATTATTAATTTTATAAATAATGAAACAGGTTTTTTGATCTACTTTTTTTCTGAAAACTTCATACAAAATGAGTTCATAAAATATTAAATTAATTATTCCTACATTGCCTTTCACATTGAGACAGGTTTTCATCAAATGCTTCTTTTAATACACATTTTCCTTTTTCTGATTGTCACTTAAAAATGTCTTGCATTATGCAGTAATATTACAGTGTTTCATATTAATTGAATTAGTAATAAAGTTGATTATTTATCTTTAGTAATTTCTGAAGAGTATTGAGTGTTGTAAAAGTTACAAAACTTATTTTTAGTGTAGCATGTGTTTTTCTCGTTATAGCTGGTTGAGTGCATCTGTGTTATAGAAACCTTGTAAGGGTGATATATAATTATAAATTGCGAATGTGTATCAATAAATTAGCCATGCATATTAATTTCTGGCACTCAAAGTTTCACATAGACAGAGAAATGAATAATGTCTTCTGCCACTATATGATGATCAAACTGTGCAGTTCCATCTCTAAATACAATTGCTGAATGAAAATATGCTTCCTGCAACAGAGCACTCCACATTTTATGTTATCCAGATTATTCCCTTCGGAACCATAAATTGCTTTTATGAGGTATAAAATTATATCTATTGCAGAGCAGGGATAAGTCAAGTACATGCATAAGTGATAAACATTCTAACCACTGATTCAGAACAACACAATCTTTTTTTTTTCTTTCAGAACTTTGTACAATGTGTAGCAATAATCATCATATTCATTTTATGTTGAATTTTACATTTTAGCAAACATTTAATTTCTATTTTTTAAGGAAGGAATTTTTCCCTCTTATGTCCCTGCCCATCTTTTGAAAAGATGCACAACATTTCTCTTTAGTCAGACTTGTTCTTTGAAACAGAGCCTTACCCTTTCTAGCCTAGTGTTCAAAAGTGTTTCTTGTAGAAAATGTTTTATGACTGATGAAATATTTTCAAGCAAAACTGGGAATTATCATTTAAGTTAAAGTATTTTTGAAACACATTACAATGATCTGTTTTGCTTCTCTGTAAAATAATAGTAGATATGAATGAGTATGTGTGTATGTATATATACACATGGAGAAAATACTTGTACTCAAGAGAATACATACATACACATGCACACACACACACAGAATATATAGAGTATATATACTTAAGAATTTTCACAATAACAAATATCTTGATGCATGAGAGAATATTATGTATTCCTAAAAAAAATTAAAACCTAAGAAATTCAGCAGTTAAGTACCCTATGTACCAGAAATCTGGTTAAAAGAACATGAATTTTTGTTAAATTGTAATGTATTTACATGATTATTATATTTTCTTTTTTAAGAATAAATAATTTATCATGTTTGTGTTCAAAACTAAGTACATAGGAAATAGATTAATAGCATGGAAAAGATTTGATGTTTAAAGACTACTGTATCTATATTTGAATATTGTTGTTGTTGTTCTGTGCCGTCAAGTCGGCCCTGACTCATAGCGACCCCTCTTTGGGTTGCCAAGGCAGTATCACTACGGAAGTAGATTGCCCAACCTTTCTTCTGAGGAGTGGCTGGTGGGTTTGAAC